TGCTGAGAAGATATCTAAACTCAAACAAATCTATGAGGATGTAAAAAGACGTCTGGAGAAGGCCCATCAACAAAATGAAAGGACTTACAACCTCCGCAGACGTCCAGAGAGATTTAATGTTGGTCAACTGGTGTGGAAGCGGAACTTCACACAATCGAATGCCGCCAACTTCTACTCTTCAAAATTAACGCCACGCTTCGTTGGACCATACACCATTTCAGAGAAGAAATCAGACAATGTGTATACTTTAGTGGACTCCGAAGGCCAGAACATAGGCAATTGGCATGTGTCTGATTTAAAGTTGTATGTAGCCTAAGTTGAGAAAATTTGAGAAATTTTCTGGAAAGTGGGGGAGTATTTGTAACGCTCTGAAATTCAGTAACGCCTACATACAGACTAGCGGACTGATCACCCGCTAAATATTTCATCTCAGTCTTTAAGCGCGCATCGACTGCCTGACCGCATTCTGAATTTCATTTCGTCACTGTAAAATATTTTATATAGTACGCCTCTACCACTTCATACTCTTGCTCCAACGGTTGCTACATCCCATCTTCACTCAATCGATAAAGTTGTAGACCTCTGATTGGTGGTTGAACTCAATAATGAAACTCGATGGATTTGTGGACTGAAACCGACGCTTCCTCCCTCTTCTCCTCTAGCCATGATTTTGTGACGAAGACAAAAAAATGAGAAGTTGATTTTTTTTGTAATTCAAGATGTTTTCAACTAAAGTGTCAACTAAATTTACTTAAATCAAATCACCCTCGAGGTAAGGTTTCTTTTTATTACATATTTTGGGGGATTATGTTGTAACATTTTGTTATTTAGGGTTTTCTTGAGATGGGTATGCTAATACTATGTCCCACATTGTCTTACAAAAATCCACCTCAGTCATTCAGACTCATTTTGGGTCCAGCTCTTTAGGTTAGTAAATTAAATTTGTTCTCAAATTGTTTGTTATTAAAGTCTATACTTAAATTTGGTAACGTCTGTTTTTAAATGTGTTCTGATAGTACGGCTTTCCCGTTCACTCTGAGATTTGATTCTGTTACTAGCCTATTTTGTAATTTTGCCTTAAAGCCTAGGCTAAAGATGCTTAACGAACCTTTTGACTTTAACTTGTGCTAGGCCTAAGTTCAGTTGTCTTAAATTTGGCAAAGTAGCCTACAAAGTCACTGAAATTGTTAAAATGTAGGGCCTATGGATTATTCTGTGTTATCGTTCAAAGTGTTTAAATAGACTATGTGTAAAATGTTTAGTTTCTAGGTTATACGAGCTGGGTCCATGTTGTAAGTATAATATTGTCGAATGTTAGGATTTAATTTGTTAACGAATCTTATTTAATGTATGTAATTTATTGTGTGGTGCTATGCATAATTATGTACTATGGACCAAAGACTTGAGAACAAGTTTGATAGGTTAGTTTAGGCCATTCAGACAGACAGTATTGTTCAAAACTCTAGTGCCTTATAGCTTGTGATTTCAAAAGACTGAACTTTTGCTGTGTTATTTTAAAGCTGTTAATGAATTTAATAATTGTTACATGGACAGTCATTGACTGATGTGAAATATTAACTTACCAAAGACAGTGTGTGAGACTGCTATACCGTTGTGTTATAAGATTGTTACTATTCATGAGGCCCTTTTCTAGGGATATGTACGGGGAATGCTGGCTCGGGAGATGTCCGTACCTGCTGGATGAGACATGCTCACCGTCCGATGACTAGGCCTACCTACTAAGCCTACTAGTCAAACCAAAATGGAATTCTTTTCGTCTCGTCATTTACAGTTTTGTGAAGGACCTGATACGCCTTACCGCTAAGTAGACAATCAATAAGTTACCTATCATAAATCATTATTCTGTATTTCTCTTTCTTCGGACAATTTGATCCCTTAACGATAACTGATATTTTAACTTGTATTTCTTTTCTTTCTGTTTAATTGTGATATTTGTTTTAATTTATGCGTAGACATGTTAGGCCTAGGTCTCTAGTTGAATTCATGTTTTATTTTTTTATGAAACCGTAAGTTACCTAATTTATATTTTAGAGTTATTCGACTCAAGTTAAGGTGGCCACCAATATTAAGTTTTTTTAAATCATCATTGTTGAGCGTTGAGTTATTGTTTCCTATCATACTGTTATAATAGGTTTGACAATCATTAAATTTTGTTTTAAGATCTGCAGATGTGTAATCCTCTTAAATTTCACTTTTCTTATTAAACTATTGTAATTTAAATTTAATTGTTGTTTTTTCACTATATTAATATTTCCTACTGTGTTTAAAAACAACTTTAGACGCTTCCTTACAAATTAATCTTGCTCCTCACGCTCATGCAATTACTATTAGCCATATTAACACCTTAAATTGTCTAGGCCTAAGTAAATGAGTAAGTGGGTCTGAATGATAAGTTAAGTGGTCCTCGAGGGTAAACCTTTTAATCTCAACCCTGTACTGCCATTGGACTTCCTTGTTGGCCGGTGGACGTTCTGCAGTAAACAAGGTGGCGCCTTCCCGAAGAGGATCCCTTATGTCATTGTGACTCTTTAAAAGTTTTGAGTACCAAACCCCCCCCCCCCTTCTCTGAGTTAACCTGGGCTTAGTTCAATTAACCTATAACTATTAAAATTAAAAAAAAAAGGTTACAATAGCAGCGACAAAAGATCTGACTGTGCATCATTTTGATGTAAAAACAGCCTTTTTAAATGGAAAGTTAGAAGAAGAAATATATATGCAACAGGCCGAAGGTTTTGTGAAATCTGATAATGAAGATAAAGTTTATAAATTGAAGAAATCAATTTATGGGCTAAAACAAGCAGCTCGGGCCTGGAATGAAACACTGAATACAACAATGATGAGCATGGGATTTGAAAAAAGCAATTCTGACCCTTGTTTATATACGAGTAATACTGATGGAAATTATACATATGTAGTGGTTCATGTTGATGACATTTTGTGTGTTGGATCAATTGAAAATGTCAAGAAAACATTTCAAAAAGTGACACAATGCTTTGAAATGAAAGACTTAGGAGTTGTTCACAACTACTTAGGAGTTGAAATTGATAAGATGGATGGAGACTTTTACATTCACCAAAGAAGAAAAATAAATAAAGTCATAATTGAACATGGACTGGAAAACAGTAAACCAGCAAGAACACCAATGGAAGTTGGATTTATCAACTCAACAGCTATGTCACCAGATCTGCCAGATAACAAAATGTACAGGAAGGCAATAGGATCACTTCTTTATCTTGCAGTGACATCAAGACCGGATATTTTGTCAGCTGTTGGAATTCTAGCTAGAAGAGTTGAAAAACCCACCCAAAGTGATTGGAATGCTGTAAAGCGAATAATAAGATATCTGAAAAGTACCATTGACAAGAAATTAAAATTAGGGGTGGAAAAAGAATTGAAATTGTCATGCTATGTAGATGCTGATTGGGGGGGTGACTTAGCAGATAGAAAATCAATCAGCGGAATGATGTACAAGTTAGGAAACAGCACTATAAACTGGATTAGCAAAAAACAGACCAATGTCACTCTTTCTTCAACAGAAGCTGAATTCATGGCCGCAAGCTTAGCCACTCAAGAAGTAGTGTGTTTAAGACTATTGTTGAAAGATATGGGCTTCCCCCAAGAAAATCCTACAGTAATATTTGAAGACAATCAGAGCTGTATCAAGTTTATTGAAAATGAAAAGATGAGTGCTAGAATAAAACATTACGTCCGAGAAATGATAAGTAAGAACGAAGTATTTCTGGAATACTGTCCAAGTGAAAATAATCAAGCGGACCTTTTAACAAAGCCACTTCTAGGGCAAGTGTTTAAAAGATCACTCTTTTACCTAGGACTTTACTAGGCATGATGTTGAGAGGGTGTGTTGGAGTTACAACATCATACAATTTACTTATTACCTGTTTTTTAAAATCATATGTTATATATCTAGTTTTGTTATGATAAAAAAGTAAATAAAAGTTATTATTGTGTGAGTGTTATTAAAGAATAGTTGATTCAATTTTAACATGAACATCTTTGGGGAGTCTGGTGGCCCAAAATAAATAAATAAAGTGGTCAAGGCTAGGTCATCCCGAGACTTTGTAGTTTTAAAATGTGGCAAACCACCAAGCTTAACAAACAATCAACTCTCTCACTCTCCCTTCTTGTAACTTTAATGCTATTGAACATCATAGAACAAAACCAACAGCTGTTATGATTCATTAATTCCATTCAAATATGAGTACTCATTAGGTTAACATGGGAAACTCCAGAGCCACTGGGGCGGAGCCCGAGAGTCCGATCAGAATAAAAACCACTTAGTTTTCCTATTTAATACCTAAAGAATCAGTGTACCAAATTTCAGCCTCGTAGGTAAGTGGGAAGTGGGAGAATTAGTGATGAGTGAGTGAGTGAGTGAGTGAGTGAGTGAGTGAGTCAGTCAGTCAGTCAGTCAGTCAGTCAGTGAGGGCTTTGCCTTTTATATATATAGATTATTTCTTTTTTTAAGCTCTACAAAATGGTTTAAAAAGAAATTGCAAAATTCTTTGTCAATAAACCCCCGTTCCCATGGTCCGAGTATGCTGGATCGCAAACTCGTTTGAATAAACGTACGTTTACACGTTTGTACCAAATTTGATCAAAATCGGATCATTTTTGCTCGAGTTATCGTGCTAACGGACATATATATATATATATATATATATATATATATGATTTTAACGGATGGTGTTTTTGGCCTCTAGGGACCTCGAAATGAAAAATTAAATCGGTCCCGGGTCCAGGTCTTACCATGAGTACTACGGTAATAGCTTATTCTCTATATGGGAAATTCGCTAAAAGTTGAATGCAAACTGTATAGTATATTTGATAATCCAAAGTTTCTCTGCAAAACAAAAAATGTTAGTAGGTGACATAACTTTTCAACTTTTTTTAGGTCACTTTTTCATCTAAACCAGGAATTTAAGGAAATATCTTTAAAAATGAAATGTTGCAAAAGGTACCTTGAGACACATTGGACAACACCTAGAGTTGGAGTCCTTCTCTTGGCCCCAGTCGTGGTGGCCCTGCACGTGACCACAGTTGAGATAGACGTAAGGTTGTTGTTTCTCATTATCCAGAGTATTTTTTCGAGGAATGACTAATGTATTGAGCCCCACAGGACATACTGGTCGCCCTGCGTTCACTTGATCCACCAGCTTTTCTAGGTAATCTTTGGTCTAGAACAGAAAAACCTTTGATTATATGTATACATTTTATACGTCTAGCTTTGGGAAAAACAGGATTGAAAAATTAACCCTTTTAGTGCCAGAATTTTTTTTTTAAGTTGTTACCACACATACCTTCTATGCAAGAAAAAGTCGCAACCCAAATACCACATATTTTCCATATGAACGCACTAAAAATTTCATGCGATTTTGGGCATTTTTACAAGATTTCACAAAAAAAAATATGACTTCGTTATTTTACAAGATATTTTAACCAAATTAGTTTTATTTTAATGATAAAACCACCAAATATAATGTAAAAAATAACATGCACATGCAAGTAACACCTTTATTTTTATAAATTTACATTTATAACATACTTACTTTGAAAAAAACCGTAAATAATTCATTCAGCATAGTCCGCATAGTCTTAAAAATTTTTTTTATTTAACTTCTTATGTGTCATTTGAATTCCAACTACTATCTCTACTTAGATTTGAAATTTCATCATTCTAAATAAAAAAAATAACTGATTTATACAAAAAAAAAATGTAACACTAATTTTTTCCGCACATTTGTCGCATTTTGCAAAAAGTTCAGGATTCTTCTTGACTAGGCCTATAGGCTATTGAAATATTTCAAGACATATTAGGCCTAGGCCTAAAGCATGCACTAAACAAATGTAAAGCAATAAAAAATTAAAAGTTCAAATTGTTTTTAGTCTAAAAAATTAAATATGTACATAGCCTAAATAGGCCTAATATACAACTCAACAAGGATGAAAAACGGGAAGCATTTTGTATGTATTCCTTTTTTGCAATTCCTACACATATAAGTAGATTTCTTTCTTTTTCCTCCACTTTGAGTACTCTTAACACTGCAAACGCAACAATTTTTTTTCTCTTTTATCAGGAATCTTCTCAAAAAATTGATCCGGAGAATCACCTGAAGGCCCACCTCGGGGCCGACTTGGAGGTGTTATGTTAATGATATCAATAACACTGGGACTGCCACTTTGTTGGACCAGCCAATCCTTTGATATAGCATCAACAATCGAAATAATGAACTGATATCTAGTTATAGGCCTATCAGTATTCAATTTATACAACAAGTAGCAATTTAGCAACATCCGAGAAAAGATGTTGAATGTTACTTTTTTCCAGAATCAATTTGTTCTCCTGTCATCTAAATACTCATACAGCATCTGATCTCCACCATCCACCCCCCCCCCCATAAAGTCATTATAATTCCTGATTATTTTAGGTTTAACCGACACATTTTCTGTAACACCTCTTCTGCTTCGCCGTTCACTCTCTGCTTTTCCGTTCGTTGTAAGAAGCAGAACTTGGGTTTTTTGAGACTTTTTTTGCCTGTAACCAACGATTGTCATCTGATCTTTCTACAAATATTTGGTTTCTCCTACATTAAACTTAGTTTTCATGGCTTGGGGAACTCCTTTTCTGGATTTTCTTAGGGTACCAGATATGAATGTAAGTTGAGAGTACAAATACTTGGCTAGTTTTAGTGAGGTGAAGAAATAGTCGATGAATACATGGTAGCCTTTGTTAATTAAATTTGTCATTTCTAACAACTTTTGAACAACATAGAAGCCCAGTCCCTTTTTAAAACTTTTTATTTATTTCCCTTTTATCAGAACCTTTTAGAGATGTGCGAGTACTCGAGATTTTGAGTTCAAGTCGAGTACGGACTTGAAACTCAAGCTTATCTTTGAACTTGGCAGTTTCTAGTCGAGTTTGGTTTAAAATTGTAAAACATCAATATTTGTTAAAATGTAACTTGTGTTTACATAAAATGCTTTATAATTTGTATTACTGTAGATTCTACAATAATACAAATATTTCTACAGTGTTATTACTGTAGATTCTACAATAATACAAATATTTCTACAGTGTAGAAATAAGCAAGAGGTAGTTGTCCTAACCTATTTTTATAGCTGTCACGACAGAATAGGTCAACTCAAAGCAGTAACCGGTGACTGGCTGGCAATGGCATAATCTGGACTTGACACAGAATGACATGATCGGTAGTGATTTTGTTTTTTTAAGTACTGTTCCACAATAGAAAATTCCACTACTGAACTGTTACGTAAGCAATAAATCTATGGTTAAAAAAGTCAGAATAGAAGCACTAGCAAAACAACAAACAAACAATAGAACAATAAAACAATAGAAGGGAGGGAGGGGTTGTACAATGACCTAGAAATGAGCCGGCATAGCAACAACATTGAGTGAGTGGTGTGGGGGATTGGGGGGAAGGGGAGGGTGAGCGTGAGGGTGAGACCTTTGAGCTATATTTAGACCAGACTAGACTTTCACCACTTCCCAAATGGCTGGGTAGGGGTAGGGGGATTATAATAGCAGGTTTTTTCCTTGCCTGGTTTGACTTTTGTCTTTTCGTGTAGGAGAATTGAATCATCAAAAATGTAATTTGAATTAACCACAATTATTTAGCATTGATAATACAATCTGCAAGGGACCAGGAGAAATATTATTCAATTAGAGTTAATACCATGATTTGCATTTTTATGTCAAAATACAACATTGCGCAATCATGTTTTGGGTCATTGACCTTAATAACGCATCTGTTATAAGTTTATAATTATAAATTGATGTTCCCGTGGTTGAAAATAATTATTCTGTTAACTTGTAAAACATTAGATAACTTATAAATAAGTATTAAATCATTCATAAAGACAATAGTAGCACTCCTAAAAAGGGATTTGAAGATAATAACATAAAAATATCATTATACTTTCTCTTCGTTCTTCCATTTTTTCTTGGGGTTCTAATGTGCATGGAATACAATTGATTATAGTGAGTTAAGGCGGTTTCACACTGGCATCCGCGGACGATTTCTTCGTCCGCGGACGGATGCAAAAATAAATCGCTGCCCATGTTATCAGATGGGACCGTTCACACCGCCCATTGAAACGTAGCGCCCATCCGCGGATGCAGAAATTCGTCCGTGGACGATTTGGTGGAATCGCTCTGGGAGCGATTTTTCTAAAACGTCCGCGGACGATCACGCCCTCGCGCATGCGCAGACAGAGCAGTAGCTCTCAGCGAGGCATGTGTCACTCGCATCACAGTGTTCAGTAGTTTGTGTTTACAGTCATAGTGTTCATCTAGTTGTTGTTTTGTGTCCTCCCTTGTTGTTTGTTGTGGCTGAATTAATTGAGGCTGTCCGTGCCTACCCAGTTATCTGGGATACAACTATAGAAATTTATAGAGATCAACAAGAGAAAGATAAAATTTGGTTGGAAATTGCGACTACACTCCACAGAGATTACAAAGAGAATAAAGTATCCTAACCAATAACCATGTATATTTATACGAATTACTGTACAGTAAATCATTATTAGATTTGTATTACTATGATTATTTGCATTATTACAATGATTCACCAAATCGCTGCCGCTTACTGTTAATTGGATGAACCCACTTTCTCCTTTTTGATAATGAGTACAAAAGTACAACCTCGTCGTCACTATCATCACTACTTGAATCAAGCCATAGAACAGAAAATCCGGGTTGACACCATGGGACAGAAGGCTCAGACATTTTGCACACCTTCACTGAGTTGTAAGAGGAAGTATGTTTAATCTATGATTGTAGTAGGAATGGCCAACTCCATATGCGCATGCGCGAATGAGTGGACGTTTGAAACGTAGCTCGCAATGTGAAGGGGGCGCGTAGCATCCATCCGAATCATTTCATCCGTCCGCGGACGATAATTTCGTCGTGTGAAACCGCCTTTAGGCCTAAGTCTAGGTTTCATTTGATTTCTATAACTACTATTGTATGAGCCTATTACATTATTCAGTACAATTTTCAATCTACAATAATTTTTTTGTTCAACAGTTAGGTAGGCTACTTGTAGGCCTATTTAAGTACTTTATTTTTAACATACAATTTAAGTATTTTGACAGAATGTTTGTTTAATTAACTAACATACAAGATTAAACAATTTAATTTTCTTTAATTTAAAAATTTATTTTTCTTTTACCCACTGTAAACTGTTGGAAATTTTGTAGGCCTACTGTTACAAAAACCACAGCAACTAAGAATAATGGTAATAAACTTACAAAACTAAAGGTGAAAAGGTAGGAAACAAAATTTCAAGTTTTAGAATAAATCTCTTTATTAAACTTTATATTGTAATTGCAACCTTAATAGCTAATAGATGCAAGTATTAAGTAATTTTAGCCAAGTATTATGCAATATTACTTAAATAGGGATTAATGTATTTAATTTTTAGATAAATAAATATATACTCACTTATCTATTTTCACAGAAGTAGAAGTTCATTTTTGAGCTCTATTGTTGTTTTAAAATTATTTTCTATGCATTATATTGATAAGTTACTGCACAACTATGAATAATTTATTTATTTACAATCATACTTCAGCTTGTAACAAGGTTGTTTTACAAGTTACATGCTCTAGGCCTAAGGAGTTAATTAAACTTACACATCCTTCGATCTTTTTGGTTTAAACTCAACTCGAACTCGAGAATCGAATCTTTTGCCAATTACTCGACTCGACCTGAAAAACCTGTGCTCGCACATCACTAGAACCTTTAGAACCTCGGTAGACAAAGAATGTCATGCAATAGTGTATAGCAGCATCGCAAAGCGACCACAGCTTGACACACCAGCGATGTCGCTTTTTTGGCATGTACTGTAGAAGTTGTGAGTGTGCTTTGGTGCTCAACATGCTCTCATCTATTGAAATATTCTGGTTTGGTGTGAAATGAAACTTCGAAACCCTATTAAAATGGTCAACTAAAGGACTGAATCGAGCACAAGGATCGTATCCAGGTTCGGACGGTTTTGCAATTTGTGCCGTGTCTGTCATATGAAAAAACTGTAAAATGGCCTGAAACCGATTTCGGTTAAACATCCTAGGAAACCATGGTGTAAATTGGCTATTAGCAGTATTCCAGTAGCTGAAAATAGTTGGTTTCTTATTTAGGCCCATATTGATAATCACA